AGGCTGGTCTCGAACTCCTGACCTTGAGCGATCCACCCGCCTCGGCCTCCCAGAGTGCTAGGATTACAGGCGTGAGCCACCGCGCCCGGCCTGTTTCCAATAAATTTAAAAGACAATCATTCTTTTCTGGAAGAAGAAATTTCAGTTTTCCTTACCCAGAAAAATGATGACTAAGATCGAGGGACAATATTTTATATATTCTAAGAATAACTGCTGTGAAGATTTTTGCTCTTCAAAGTATATTGCAAATCTTTTCCCACATAAGTGTCCAATCCAGAACAATTTGTGTGAAAAGAACAAGTGACAAAGTTAGATAAAATAGGAGTTGACAGAGTTTACTATTATTTTGACTAGTTAGTATTTAATAATAATGTGAAGGTAACAAGCTTTTGTATTAAAATCAAGGGCCCAAGTCTTACTGGTTCCTTTACAACTTCCATAGAATACAACATTTCAGTCTAAAATTCAAAAATCTTCCTTTTAACCTTTATATCTGCCCACTTCATTCCATTTTTGTGTGCATGTGCATACATCAATTTTTCCATTTTAATCTTTGTGCTAAAACAGTTTTCCTTGTTTATTTGCTCCTATCAATTGTTTTCATGCATTCTAAAATGATCTTCCTGATTTCACATCTCTACAAATTTTTCATGGAAAACCAGGTAATTAGGGAATAAATATTTTCAATTTATTGACTAAGTAATTAGAAATAAGGAGAAGAAAAAATTTTTAAAGCTTAAACATTCTTAAACTCATACTAATAAAATTTCTCCCCTCATAATTTTGCTTAATTTATATAATATTATGAACACTGAGTATAAATAATAGTTTTATCTATAGTGTGATAGTCCCATAAAGGTAAAATAAAATCCTAAGTTGATTTTTAACTTACTAAGAGCTCGGTGGTTGTCTATAATCTGTATTGGAATGGTCTGCACATCTCCCAACAGAATCCGATGAACACTTCCTTCCAGATTCCCCGTATCCTCAACATCTCCAACTTCAACTAGCTGATCCATTGCAACTAGATTTTGATCCGGTCCTGGAAGGTTACCCATGGTAGAGGCAGTACTATTGTTTTGGGTTAGGCATGTATCTGTTTGAAGGCTATGACTTTGACTAAGCAGTAGAGAATTATTATTCATTACAGCACTTCCTGTTGAATCCAGAAGTCTTGAAGGACTGGAGGAGGGGTGGTTATTTACTGATATCAGAGCTGGTGATGCATCAGAAGAGGAGAACCTTGGTTGTAACTGCAAACCCTTTTAAACAGAAAACAGTAATATGAAAACGTTTTAATTTACTATGTATGATATTCTCATAAGATATGTTATTTTTTGACACAAAATTAGAACAAATAAAATGAGTATAGTTACTAATAAATATTAGGTAAGGATAGAAACCAGAACCAAGGAAAAAGTAGTACAACTAAATTTATTACATTCATAGTCAACCTCAAACTTTTTCAAAACATACTGTTTGAATTATCTTAAACCAAGAGACAAAGAGGTCAGGAAATTAATAATGAAAACCTATTCAGTGATTATTACATTCTATAACAATTCTCTAAAATCTCTAGAAGAAGAAGATAGATTGAGAAATAAAGAGATGGGTCTCAAATTTGGCTATTTTACTGAATGCTTACCTGTAGCTGTGTAAATATTTTTGGCTGAAATGAGGAAAGTGAGGAGAGCAAGTGGGTTGGCTCATGAGACAAAGAACTTCCTGTCTGATTTGTTCCTGCTTTGGTGGTAACTGATTCTTGTGGTGAATTTCCTAAAGTACATAAAAAATAAACTATTAAAACAAAATAATTGTATGGCTTCTGAGATACTACACTTTATTACAACTTTTTCTAATACAACTGGGTTAGGAAACGAGGTCGAAGTTTTGCAAAGGACTTCAAGAAGTCATCTAGTCCACTATTTCCAGAAACTGGCAGATCATGAGAATCTCTAAGGGAACTTTAAAAGATATATAGATTCCTAGGTTCAATCTCCATTAATTTTAATGCAATAGATCTAGGATGGGATCTAGGAATACTGTCATCCCTTCATATCCATAGAAGATTGGTTCCAAGACCTTGCTCAGATTACCA